AAGCTTCAGGCCAGCCTGGGGTAAATGCCCTCAAGCAAGCAATTAATTTCTTGCCTCTTGAGGGAAGAAAGGCTTTTCTCACTGCATTGGAATTAATATTGCTGTGATGAAACACCTCCACCAGAAGTGACTTGGGGAAGAAAGGGTTTATTTCACTCCCTGTTCCATGTAACAGTTCACCATCGAAAGCACTGGGGGAAGAAACCTGGAGGGAGGAGCCGAAGTAGAGGCCATGGGAAAGTGCTGCTTACTGGCTTGCTACCAGGGATTACTCAGCCTGCTTTCTTATAGAACCTAGGACCATTCATAATGGGCTGGGTCTTCCTACTTTTTTTAAAAATTTATTTTATTTTATTATTCCCACTTTTATAACTAATAAGAAATGGTCCCCCATATTTGCTTACAGCCTTGGTCTCATGGAGACATTTTCTCAGTTCGGGTTCCCTCTTCTCAGATGACTGTAGAGTTGACCTAAAATTAGCCAGGACACTCATGAAAAGAACTTAAGATAATTCAGCCACTAAAGTGCTTGTCATTACAAGCATGGTCATGATTTCCATTCCCAGAAGTTACATAAAACTGAGCATGGCAGCCTGCAGGTCTACTCTTAGATCTGGGGAGATGGAGACAGAAGGATTCCTGGGAAATTCTAACCAGCCACCCTTACTTGTATAGTGACTTTCAGGCTAGTGATAGACTTTGCTTTTTGGGTATAAGTGGTAGGAAGGAGGATGGAGACGTGGCTCAGTGACGGAGCAAGCATGAGATGTTAACCTGAATTCAGAAATTAGCACTCATGTAGGAAGCCAAACATGGTTGTGTGCATGTCAGTGACCCCAGAACCAGGGGAAGCAGCAAAAATAAGGGTTGCTGGCCACCAGCCTGGCTCCAAAGTCAGCGAGAGTCTCTGTCTTGAGGGAATAAGGTAGAGTGTGAAAGATCAAAATACTGGATCTCTTCTGGCCTGCTTGCTCCTGCCCTCCTAGAAGTGCACATAGCCCCGACACATACAAGTCCACATGCCTGCAATACACAAGTGCACATAGCTCCCTCAAACACACATAAGCCCACATAGCCTCCCCAAATACACACAAGTTCATATACCCTCCGCAAACACACACAAGTGCACATAGCCTCCCCAAACACACACAAGTGCACATAGCCTCCCCAAACACACACAGGTGAACATAGCCTCCCCAAACACACACAAGTGCACATAGCCTCCCCAAACACACATAAGTGCACATAGCTTCCCCAACACACCTAAGTGCACACAGACCCTTATACACCCACACAGAGGTTGATGGTACCTAAAGAATGACACTAGAGGTAGTCTTACCTCCACATACTTGCATATACTACTTTGCACTCATCATCTTCCTACACAATAACAACTGGTTTAGTACCATTCCCTTCGAGCCCTAAGAACATTAGCAAAATGAAGTTGCTCTTGGTGTTGGGTGTTTGTTTTGTTTTGTTTAAGATGGTCTCATTATGGAGCCCTGTCTGGCCTGGAACACATTATGTAGACTAGACTGACCCTGAACTCAGCAATCCTCTTGCCTCTGTTTCCCAAGTGCTGGAATTAAAGGCTTACACCGACATACCTGGTTAAGAGTAGAATTAAAAAACAAAACATTTTTTTGTATTACAAAATTAGGTTCAAGTAAAAAAGCCATTAAATAAAAAGAAAAGCATTTACATTTTCCCCCCATGAAATTCAGTCTTACATACTATTTCTTTTTGGTTAAAATTTTTTTTTGGGGGGGGGGTGCTGGAGAGATGGCTCAGCAGTTAAGAGCTCTGACTCTTAACAGCATGATGGATAATTTTTTTTTGATGTTTCTTGGAGTTAGTTTGCCAATATTTTATTGACTATTTTTGCATCAGTGCTCATGAGGGAGATTGGTCTGTAATCTCTTCTTTGTTGCCTCTTTGTGTGGTTTGGGAATCAGACTAACTGTAGCCTCATAAAAGGAGTTTGGTAACATTCCTTCTGTTTCTGTTGTGTGGAACAATTTGAAGAGTATTGTTCTCTCTTTGAAAATCTGATAGAATTCTGTGTTGAAACCATCTGGTCCTGGGCTTTTTTGGTTGGGAGAATTTTAATGACTATTTCTATTTCCTTGGGGGTTATTGGTCTATTTAAATTGTTTATCGCATCGTGATTTTACTTTGGTATGTGGTGCCTATCTAGAAATTTGTCCATTTCTTTTAGATTTTCCAGTTTTGTGAAATAGAGGTTTTTGAACTATGACCTGATGATTCTCTGGATTTCCTCATTGTCTCTTGTTATGTCTCCCTTTTCATATCTGATTTTGTTAATTTGCATGTTCTCTCTGTCTTTTGTTTTGTTTGGATAGAGGTTTGTCTATCTTGTTGATTTTTCTCAAAGAACCAACTCTTTGTGTCATTGATTCTTTGTATTATTCTTTTTGTTTCTGTTTTATTGATTTCAGCTCTCAATTTGATTTTTTTTCTCCTGTCTATTCTTCCTGGGTGAGTTTGATTCTTTTTGTACTAGAGCTTTCAGGTGTGCTGTTAAGTCACTTCTGTGAGATTTCTCCAACTTCCTTATGTGGGCATTTAGCACTATGAACTCTTAGTACTGCCTTCCTAGTGTCCCAATTACCCAAAACGGGGGCCAGGAACCTGCAGGTCCCCCTTTTATTAAAAAATGTGCTTCTGACTTGGGTTGCGTGGGATGTCAGCAGGTCACCTTACCCGTCATGGAGACGCCTGCCCAGGCCCCACAGGTGCTCTGTCTTAGGTTGGTGAGTGTCCCCTAGGTATTACTCGTCTCTGAATACTCATTATCATACCGGCTCTATCGTGTGTGAGCTGCATGGTTAATTGCTGCCAAAGATCTCAAAGTGGCACTGGGCTTGCAATCTGTGTGTTTGATACAGAAAAGACCAACAGAGGTCCTATCTCACCCATAGCCAGTAGGCTAAAGGCAAATGAGCCATTCCCTTCCTTATCAAGCCATACTGTACATTGGAGTCCTTGTAAGTTAGTATCCCCAAAGCAACTGGAACTTGAGTTTACAAATTTATAATTTTCAAAGCCAATCGAGATGTATATAAGTACTGATTGAAATTTATCATGCCCAATAGAATGAAAGATTAACTAACTGTGGTAGCTACTTTTGTTGCCAGGGTCTCCACTGTGCTAGCTGTAGTAAGCAATTATGAAATGGTAATCCCAGAAACAGTAGCAGTGGTTTGCACCACTGTTATACCAGCAACAGCGGCAGCAGCAATGTCAAATTCTCTTCTGGATTATGTTGACATCCACTGGCATGGATACAACTCCAGGAACATGAACTGCCAAGGCCCGTTTTTCTTGATCCCAGCATGATTTTGGCTGGCAGCTCTTCTGGAGAATCCAATCTCATGGCTACAGTTCCTAGGTTTACATTAATGCTTGCCAAAGCTGGCCTTGTTGGGCTCTCAGTCTCCATTGGTATCAGAAGGGTAGATTTTTTTCATGAAGACCCATTAGGTCTCTGTCATGTTGGGCTTAAGCAGCAGCCACAGGGCGCGTTCAGCGCTCAGGAATCCAAAGAGGAACCTCATTATCCTGAGGAAAGATATAAACAGAACCCCGGGGCTACACCAACACTAGATTGGGTCTCCTCCACGTGCTAGTAGAAAGATCCTTCCATCGCTCCAGAGGGTGATTTGCAACAGGAGCCCTCCAGTGCTTATCTGCATTGGATCCTCCAGTAGAATCCACCAATAAAAAAATTTAAAATATATAAAACAAGGGAAAGAATAGAATGTGGAGAGGAATGATGAGTCCCTAGTTCTCCCTTTTTTTAATTTTAGTAAAATGTTTGTTGTTTGTTTAATATTTCAAATTTTTCTATTTTTATTTATCATAAAATGATTTTTAAGATCACTTACTTCTGCTTCTTCTATTCTGTGATGCTTAGGTCTTGCTGAACCTCTAGGTTCTGTTGATGCCATATGGCTCTTTAGGTTGTTTTATGTATTTTTGCATTGGTGTCTACCCATTTCTTCCTCCAATAGGTGTAAGAGGTTTCTGTGTCTGAGGGAGCTGCTCTTGGTTCAGTCTGTGCTTACTGGGTCTGTGTCTCAGGGGACCACTCTTGGTTCAATCAGATGTGGCAGATTCTGTTTCTCAGGGAGAAACTGAGGTTACAGGGGGATGGTTGGGTTAGGGTCAGGGAGTGGGTCTTGTGCATTGCATTTTCCAATGTGGGGTGTAGTGGGGAGGCTTGCATGGAGGAGTGTTGCCTGCTGGCCTGAAACTGGGGCAGCGATGGGTGGGGGTTGGGTGCACGGATTGTGCCTTCAGGCCTAGGTCCTAGAGGCAGGACTCTCTGGATAGGAGAAGATTCATTCACCTCTTTGTCCAATCAGAGCTGGCAGATTCTGTCCAACCTTACCTATGTTACTTTTTAATATGAACTATGTTTCCTGGGTCCTTTATTTTCATCACTCCCTCAGAACTTTCCTTATAGCATATTCAGAAACATGTCCCTGTATATTTATGATTTTTCTGGATAATCACATGGAAAGACAGCTTTATTTTACCCTTCACCTTCTAAATAGCAATGTGGCAGGTTGTAGAAGTAACCGTCTAATTAAATAAGAAACACAGAGCCAATGTAAAGATAAAAGCCCAAGAGGTCAGAGCTAAGAGCCTTACCTTTCCTGCTACAGCGATCCTTTTCAACCAAGAGAGAGACCTACTTGCTGTGTGTTTGTCTTTATATAGACTTTCTGTTCTGCCTTCTCATTGGTTGTAAACCCAACCACATGACCGCCTCTTCACTGCCTGTTTGTACAGACCTTCAGGTCTTCTATGGTTGGTATTGAGATTAAAGGCGTGTGTCTCCAATGCTGGCTGTATCCTTGACCACACAGAGATCTACCTAGCTCTGCCTACCAAGTGCTGGGATTAAAGGCGTGCGCCATGAATGCTATGGCTTGCTATAAGCTCTGACCCCCAGGCAACTTTATTTATTAACATACAAATAAAATCACATTTCAGTACAAATAAAATATCACCATAAGAGGTAGAGGTTATTTTGGAAAGGATTACAAAGTGAATGAATAGAATAGAGGTAAAGACCCATTCTGATCACTATTATTATTATTTTCAGTCCTAGGATTGTATATGCAAGCACTCTGTTGCCAAGCTATATTTCCAGCTCTTTTTTTGAGTTTTTATTTTGAGATAGTCTCACTAAGTTTCCTAGGCTTGCCAGGAAGTCTGTTGCACAGGTAGCCCTTGAACTTAATCATCCTGGCTAGTCTCCAGAGTAGCTGATATAATAGGCCTGTGCCATGAGGCTCTATTAGACTTCCTTTTTTAATTTAATGTTGTTACTTGTTTTTTACTCTTTTCGGGGGCCCCTCCAACCAGTGCCTCAATAAATCACATGCAGATGCTTCTTCTTAATTATGATTGCCCAGCCTTAGCTTGGCTTAGTTTCTAGACAGCTTTCCTTAACTTAAATTAACCCATCTAGCTTTTGCCTCTGGATTTTTCCCATTCTCTTCTATAAATCTTAATCTTACTTTATGACTTGCTGGTTATGTAGCTGGGTAGCTTGCCCTTGATGGACTCCTGTTCTCTAGCGCCTTCTCTATATGTTCTGTCTGCTGAGATTTTCATCTATCTTTTCTGCTGCCTTGCTATTGGCCAGTTCTTTATTAGACCAGCATGTAATTTACACAGGACAGTAACAAAGCTTTACAGAATTAAAGAAATGCAACATAAGCTAACACACCTCAAAGTAATATTCTACCAAAATTTAAAAAAAAATTCACACAATATATTTTAGTCATATTTTCCTCTCCCCAAACTACTCCTAGATACCCACTCAACTTCAGATTCTTTCTGTTAAAAATAAAAAAAAAAAAAAATTACATGGGGTCCATTTTGTTTTAACCAGCTATTCATGAGCATGTGGCTTGTCCTGGAGTGTGTTTAACATATTTTGTCTCTCTATTGAAGGAAACTGGTTTTCTCCATCCCAGAAGTTAATGGATGCACATAGCTTCTTGGTTAGATGAGGGACTTTGTGCCCACTTCCCATTCTCTGTGCTGGGATTTTTGTCTGGCTTGAAGTAGTACAGATGTTGTGCATGCTGTCAAAGTCTCTGGAATTTCAAATGTGCATTAGCCCTATTGTGTCTGAAAAATGTTGTTTCCTTGGAGTTTTTTTTTTATCACCTCTGGCTTTTATAGTCTTTCTACTTTCACACACACACACACACACACACACACACACACACACACTTGAGGGGGTGGCTTTAAGGGGCTTTCCCTTTAGTACTGAGTGCTCCAAAAACTCTCACTCTCTGAATGTTGTCCAGTTGTGGTTGTCTGTATTAGATAATATCTACTGCAAGATGTCTCCTTTATGATGAGTGCTCAGTAATGTGATACTCTATGGATGTAACAATATGTAGTTAGGAGTCATTTTATTTCTATGTTCATTTGGCAGAATAATTATAATAAATTTTCCCTTTAGGCCTCTGACCTATCTAGTCTCAGGTTCTTGTCCTTATTAGTGTGTCAGGTATAGGTTCCATCTTGTAGAGCTGGCCTTCAATCCAATTAAAAGGTGGTTGGTTACTCATATAGCATTTGTGTCACTATTGCACAGTCAGTGGGTGTATCTTGCAGACAGGTTGCTCTTATACCTCACAGGGTTGAAACCTGTGTGAGGCTGATGATTACTTTTCTTCTCTCCAGTAGTGTGTATCATATCTTTCAACACTATGAACTCTAGTTACCTGGAGTGAAGCTTCTAATTGAGCATGAGCTTCTGAGTACATCTTTGGTTTCATTTTCTTTTCATTCATCCCATTCTGCTACCGAGGCCCCTAACATACACTTTCTGAACTGAACTGTTCTCTTTCCTCTAAGTTTGACTTCCTATTTGTTTTGCAGTTTGAGGCATATTTGAATGTGAGCTGTGACACTGAAAGACTATGTATTGCTCTTGGCTAGAGAAAGAATGTGAAAACAATCTTGACCTTACTTTGCACACAATTCTATCACAAGTCTATTTGGTTCCTATGACCACATTTTCTCAACATTGTCCAGGTAGTGATGTGTAGTAAAGTTGATAATAAAAGATGAAATGAAAGTAAAAAGAATGTTCATTCTGTTAACTAACGTCACAGTTTAGGCCCAGAGACAAGAGGACTAATAGCTCTGATGACCCGAATTACTTAACCATTTCCTTCTTCTCCATTGCTAGATCTCAGTTCATGTACTAGTTTTATCCTTTTTTATGCCATTGAAGAATAATATTTCGGTTTCAGGCTTGACGTTGAAGAGGATTTGGCACTATTGAATTTGTGTGCTGTGCAAGTCCTGCTGCAGGGACTGAGGGGAGAGTATGTCCAGCTGGGAAGCCAGGACATGAGTTAGAGCTCCAACAGGAGATTCTTAGAGGTCATGGCATGAATCTGAGAGGATGAAGCCTGGATCGCTTTTTAGAACATGAGATGCATCACAGTCACAGTGAGGAGATCCTGAGAGTTCTTTGCATGAGGCTGTGATGGTGAACTCGGGATTGCCTTTTGAGACCACAAGATGAGTGCAGTGACCTATAATGATGTACATGTGGACTTCAGTGTAGAAGAGTGGGCTTTGCTGGATTCTTCCCAGAAGAATCTATACAATGATGTGATGCTAGAGACCTACAGGAACCTCAGAGCTATAGGCAACAGTTTGGAAGACCATAATAATGAAAAACATTGTCAAAGTTCTGGAAGACATGGCAGGAATGAAAGAAATCATACTGGAGAGAAACTCGCTGTAAATACTCAATGTGTTAAAACGTTTGCATATCACAATCATCTTCAAATACATAAAAGAAGGCATACTGGAGAGAAACCCTATGCATGTAATAAATGTGATAAAGCCTTTGAATGTCAGAGTCATCTACAAAAACATGAAGTAACTCATACTGGAGAGAAACCTTATGAATGTAAACAGTGTGATAAAGCCTTTGCACATCACAGTAGTCTCCAAACACATAAAAAAACTCATAATAGAGAGAAACCTTATAAATGTAATCAATGTTGTAAAGCCTATGCACATCATAGTAGTCTCCAAATACATAATAGAACACATACTGGAGAGAAACCATACAAATGTAATCAATGTGATAAAGCCTTTTCACAATACAGTAATCTCCAAGTACATAAAGTAAGACATACAGGAGAGAAACGCTATGAATGTAGTCAATGTGGTAAAGCCTTTTTGTATTACAGTGATCTCCATAGACATGAAAGAATACATACTGGAGAGAAACCTTTCAAATATGATCAATGTGATAAAACCTTTTCACGACAGTGTAAACTTAGAATACATAAAAAAACTCATACTGGAGACAAACCTTACAAATGTAGTCAGTGTGGTAAAGCTTTTGTATGTCAAAAGAGTCTCCAATTACATAAAAGAACTCATACTGGAGAGAAACCCTATGAATGTAATGAGTGTGGGAAAGCCTTTGTATGTCAAAGGGGTCTCCAAAGACATAAAAGGACTCATACTGGAGAGAAACCTTATGAATGCAATGAATGTGGTAAAGGCTTTGCACATCACAATAGTCTTCAAGAACATAAAAGAACACATACTGGAGAGAAACCATACAAATGTATTCAATGTGATAAAGCCTTTTCACAATACAGTAATTTACAAAAGCATAAAAGAACACATACTGGAGTGAAACCCTACAAATGTAATCAATGTGATAAAGCCTTTTCTAGACATGCTCATCTTCAAGCTCATAAAAGAACACATACTGGAGAGAAACCTTATGAATGTAGTCAGTGTGGTAAGCTCTTTGCATATCAAGAGAGTCTCCAGTTACATAAAAGAACACATACTGGAGAGAAACCTTGTGAATGTAATGAGTGTGGTAAAACCTTTGTATGTCAAAAGAGTCTCCAAGTACATAAAAGAACTCATACTGGAGAGAAACCTTATGAATGTCATCAATGTGGTAAAGCTTTTGCCTATCACAGTAGTCTCCAAATACATAAAAGAACACATACTGGAGAGAAACCACACACATGTAATCAATGTGATAAAGCCTTTACAAAATACAGTTATCTCCAAATACATAAAAGAAGACATACTGGAGAGAAACCTTATGAGTGTAATCAGTGTGATAAAGCCTTCGCATGTCGAAGGAATCTCCAAAGACATAAAAGAAAACATCCTGGAGAGATACCATATGAATGAAATTAGTGTGATAAAACTTTGCATATCAAAGTAGTCTCCAGATATATAAAAGAAGACATACTGGAGAGAAACCCTAGGGATGTAATTAATATGGTATAGACTTTGCATATCAGTACTCTTCAAAATCATAAGAAAATAATCATACTGTCGAGAAATCCTATAAATGTAATCAGTGTGGCAAACTTTTGCAATTCATGGTAGTCTTCATACACGAGGAAAACTTTTAGTGTGTAATTGAGCTGTTAAATCCTGTGCATATAACATTAGTCTGTGACATTCTGAAAAAAAAATGAATACTGTAGGAAATCTGACTATAAAGGATTTGGTAAGATCATTAGCCAACATATGTACATTTAGTTACACGAGATTATTCTGGAGGAAAAAAATCTAGCAAGTGTCAACAATCTCTTCAGTCATTATGATGTCTTTATTTTGTTTGTACCTGCAATCTCACATAGACAAAAGGCCTATGAATTTAAACTATTAAACAACATTTAGATTTCTTCTCTTCAATCGCAGAAAAGAAATCTATGAGTAAAACTTTATGGGTATGTATTAGTGCATTTTCTGTTGCTGTAATAAAACATAATGCCTAAGTCAACTTATGAAAGAATTTAATTGGCCCTTGGTTCCTGAGAGATACTGGATCACAATGAAAGTGGCATGGCAACAATTGTCAGAAAGGGCAGCTAAAGCAAGAAGCTAAGAACTTACATCCTCGATTTGCACCACAAAGTAGAGAGTGGGAACTGGAAATGGTGTATGGATGAAAACTCTCAGGCCCACCCCTACTGACATACTTCATAAGCATGGCAGCATTTCCTAAATCTTCTGAAATGATACCACCAACTGAGAAGGATTGATTTCTCTGACTTCAAGCCTACATGCTAGTTTTCTGTTATATGAACCACTTCACAGTGAAGAAAATCTCTGTAAGCCTTTTAAATGTTTCAAGATTTGTTTTATTAGAATGAATTCTTACAAGAGAAAAGCATTCATGAGGAAAATTTGTTTACAGATTTTAACTATGTGATGTCAGTGTGTCTTTGTGTGATGATTATGTGCATGTGCATTCTGATCCCCAAGAAGGTTAGACCCTTGGAGCTTATTGTAGCATGAATTACAGGAAGTTGTCAAAAACCTAACTTTGGTCCTAGGAATGAACTTGTCTTAATTGTTCAGCCATGTCTCCAGGCCTGTAAATATTTTAAAACCTTTTACTACCATCTTGATATCAAGAAATAGGGAAGAACTGATACAAGAGGAAACCCTATTCATGTATATGATTTTGTAAGAACTTACACACCACAGTTGTCTTCAGTTTTTAAAAAAAAGGACTTCCTTCATCTCTTTAACCTCATAGCCTTGAAGGAATCAAATTACCATGTTCACACAAGACCGATGTTGGAGATTAGTGCATTGTGGTTCTATTTTGCAACATTTGAGGTAGTTATTAAAGTGTGCTATGTTTTACAAATCTATGTAGTCAAATTCAATTTGTGATCCTTATATTCTTCTGTGGCCGTTGTTCATCCTCGATTGTGCTTTCACTTCTAGATAGATATTTTTCTGTTGCAATGTATAATAGAATAGGATGCCCATCATCTAAGTAGTCCATTGTTTATTTAAGCATCAGGGAATGGTGATCATACTTTTCAAGTAAGGGTGTCTGTGAAAGGGTGGTGGGTTTTATTCTTGGTTTTCGTTTTCATATTTTCACAAATTACCTTAAGATGTTGTTTGTTATTCAGCCTAGGTTGGATGTTAGTAATTTGTCTGGAATACATTTGAACTCATGATTCTCATGTTTCAGTCTCCAGTGTAAAATTCCAAGGGTAGGTGATACACCCCTAACATTTGCTATTTTTTCAACATGTTTTAAAATGTTAATTTTAAATTGATTAATAGAGGAGAATATAAGAAACATTACCTCATGTGTACATCCAAAGCTGCACTTTCATCTCTGGAAGAGATGTAATGAGGTAAAATGATCAGCAATCAGCTGTACATTTGCCATCTGTTTTCCTCTTTTCTCTGCTTATTAGCTTTATACTATTTTTCATTACACATGATTCAGTATCTTTTTATACAAGTGTAAAGTAAGAAATGCATTATCCTTTTTACTGTTTTTACAATGGTGGCTAAAATGTCACAAATAAGAACTATGTACACTAACATTATCTTGATTTAGGACCTCTGCCACTGAATAAGCCAGGGCTTATGATGTTGCTCTGAGATACCTCTTTTTAAAATTGTCTCATTGTGTTGTTTAAGTGGTTTCTGTATTATTAATGAATTAATGTTGTATTCATTGTAAAATAGCGATAGATCCCAAAAAAACTATAGTGTATTAGTTTGGATTTTAAAATAGTTGAGCTTAGAGAAGCTTAACAATGGTAATCTGAATATCAGCTTAAATTTCACCAGGAAGCAGCATGCATTATTCTGGTGTGCTATTTAATAATTATACCAGGAATAGGTAAATCTGGAGGGTGACAAATAATTGTTATCGATGACCTCCTCTGAAGAAACCATTGTAACAAGTTTTAGCTGACAGCAGACCCTAGGACCACCAACAGTGTTAATGGATGCTGCTAATTTTGACAGTTTAATAGAGAAAATCATGATTTATCCCATCACCTTGATACATTATCTGCAGATAGGATAGCTAATTCTCATCTCTGTTGTACTTTTCTTGAGTAGTTGATCTTATTTGATTTCTTACAGTGCTTATTTTATGTGGCTTCAGCTCTGTCAGTTCATTTAGATTGTTTCAAAGCTCCACACCAACACTTAGGATTTAAAATGGCAGAGTAAAAATATTTGTACTCTATTCTGTCTGAAGTTACCCTCATACAACACAATACAGATTCCCATAGACAAATATTGCTGTAACTCCAAACTGAAATATTTGAAAAATGGTTACCACATGTAAAAAGAATATCCTTGTAGAAAGAGATCTCTGAACTGACAGAACAAAGACATGGCTCTTCTGTTTGCAGTAGGTCACGATATATAGGGAGGAATGGGAGCATCCATAGATGTTTGGCAGCATGAAAGAGCAAGAAGAAAGCAAATAACGAATACACAAGTGCATTATTCTTACAGCAGGAAAGCAGAGGGAGAGATTGCCACAGACTCTTTGGTACTTGTTTTTCACGAAGGAGTAATTTTTTAACTTTTTCCAATATCTAATATGTATTCTCCATTTTTCTCACAAGCACACATGTATAAACTGTTCTGTCAGAACGAACTTCCATCTAGTCTAGAATGCAATACTATTCTCTCCTACCCCAGTATTCCTAAGAATATCTGGTCTTGGGGTGCTCAGGCCATTCAAAGGTAAGTAATGAAAAGGAAATGAGCATGGCCCATGAAAAATGCTACAACAAGAAGAAAATAAACCACTGGTGACTAACTGGTAGTCCAGCGTTGATGAAATGAGATCCTTCCCTTTGGTGACCTCAGGTTTTTCTTAGGAAAGTTTTCACTTGGAGACTATTTTTAGTTCAGTAGTTTATATTTCCTGGAACTATGTGCTGCAATCCATAGGAAAATGTAATGGAATTCAGCTACTATCTCAAAAGCTACTATTTGGAAAGGTCAAGGTCTTTTCTGAAGGTCAAGCCATGGCTTGACATGTCTTGGTGATATTTTAGCTTTTGTATATATATTATCCAATTCCTGCAATGATTTCCTTATATGATATATATGCTTTCAAGAATTCATAACAGTGTATTTTATCGGAAATGCTTATCAAGTTCCAAGGCCAAAGGATCTCCTGAATTAAGGCAAATTAAGCTTGGACCCTCCTTTCCTATACAGCCTTGGTGGTATTTATACTAACATTATAGACTCCTAACATTTACCTAACCACCTATAGGAATGTACTTTGGCACATAAATTTTTTTTCTGATATATTAACCAATATTAGCTCTTAGTTGACCTCCTTTACCTCTTCCCTTTTGGGTTGTAAAAGAAAGCCTGATGGTCATTGCCTGAGGAAAACTCTTGTCTGCCTTTATGATGCTGTAAGAACTCAAGCCTGGTGACCTTGCTTTAGCTAGAGCACTGCTATTGCATGGGTATATAACTGTAAAACTCAAAGACTGAGGAAGGATTTTGACTGGAGAGGATTTTGACTGGAGAACTAGATGGAGGTTTAGAAGAATGAGATGGAAGATGAGGAAGAGCCAGGTAGAGGAGAACAAGATGGGTAAGAATGAGATGAGAAAGACCAAGATGGGGCAGAATTAAGATGAGAGAATTAAGATAGAACTTAGAGGGGACAGCAGATGAATGCAGAGAGAAATCAGGCAAGAGAGGAGCTAGGCATGAGAAAAGAACTGAAGCTGAGGAGACAGAATTTTATCATAGAGGAATAAAGTATGACCTAACAGCTCGGTGTAATTAGATTATTTTACTGAAAATAATTCTTGCTGTTCATAGCTTTTCTTCTGGTTCCCTGGGAAATAGATTATTAAGGCTGGACCATAATAATATTAATAATAAAGTATGAATGGTGCTGATACTTAGAGAAAAAGGTTTTCATTTCAAGCGTGGGAAATAAGGGGCAAGGTCTTATTTTCCCAGACATAACAGCAAATGTATTACCAAATACATATTTGGTAGAGTTAAGTGGATTATCAGACCAACTTAATCACTGAAACGTCATTGTGCTGATTGGAAGTGGTAGGTATGTTGAGTGTGACCAGCATTCTCTAGTTAACTGTCCTTTATAATTCTGAACATTAAAAAGGTTAAATTCAAAGTACATGTGTTTATGTGTCATGTGTTATTATAAATCATAGAAGGCAGTTATTAAATGTCTAATATAAATTTAAACAAAATGCCTATCTAGCATACTAAAGTTTAGAAGTGCAATCAGTCCCTTTAATTATAAGACTTTCTATTTTGCACTATTCATGGATATATATATATATATATATATATATATATATATATATATATATATATGATTCTTTAAAGTGAACTGCATGCTACTCAGTGACTAGGAAGCAGTATTGCAGGAGAGAAGAGAAATGCCATTAGTGATGCTGAGTATGGAGACAAGAGAACCAGGAAGAAACATGAACAAGCTGGGAATAAAATGGGTTATGAGAGTAGATCTAGAATTAACCTGCTGTTTAAATTTTGACACGACCACAATGTTAGTATTAATAGAAGCACATTCTGCCAATAGACGTGGGTGTGTGCTGTGTGCGTGCGTGTGTGTCCTGAATATTTTAAAATGAGACACTGACTTACATTCGTTGTCTCATTTTTGGAATCAAACCATCAACAATACGATGTACAATCTGAACTGATCCTTCGTATAAATAATAAAAGAAAAGGAGAACTGTAACTCTTCTGCTTTGAAAACATCACCCCCACCTCTGCTGGAGCAGAGCTGTAACACTTCTGCTGGGGAAATCTTCCACTGACTGCTGGAGCAGAGCTATAACACTTGCATTGGGGAAGCTTTTCCCTTTAGAGCTACAAAACTTACAGGTATGCATTTGAAAAGCATTCACTTATAAAAACCTGAGAGGTCTTCCTACTTAGAACTCCCATACATTGTTTAGCATAATAAACACTGTTCATTTTTTTTTTAAATATCACCTCTTAACACTACAGGATGCATCAATTTTTAAGTTATTTTTTTCCTTAAAAGACAAAGTCTGACTCTTGACCCTTCTGCCTTGAAGTCCAGAATGCTTGAGCCGTAGGCATGCCAGGCTTAATAGTGACTTTTTCGAAGGGTCACATCCCATTACAGTTTTCAAAAAAAAATTCTCTTTAAGCCAAGCATTGCAGTGCAAACTTGTAATCCCAGCACTTGAGATGTGGAAGCACTAGGAACCGTTGAAGGACACCCTAGGCTACATGGAGAGTTTAAGGCCAGCTTGAGTTACATAATACAGAACTGGATGTGGAGGGTAAATTGTTTCAACTTTTTCTATGGGCTCTTAATAAATTTTTAGAGAGGACTTAAAACTACAATACTGTGTCTAGTGCTTTGTAATTTTCAGAAACTCCTATCAAAATCTACATCTAATACTTACCAATAACTCTTTACACCATTAAAAGCAAGAGATGCCAGTTCCAGAACTGTCTATGTTTGTTTCGAGTCCTAATCTGGAAGACAGCATCTTACAGACCTAAATGTCAACTAGGCAGCTCAACCTCTTGAACTTATACATCACTACCTAGTGATCTTTCCCACTCTATGCCCAATCGGAAGCAATGGTATCTAAATGGCAAGTAACGGTATCCAAGGCAGAATCCAAGGAGTTATTCTGAATCTGTTTGCTTAGTACATGCGTTTACAAACCAGGGGGGTGGGAGACAGAGACAGAGAAGGGAAGAAGATAGGAAGGAGGGAGAGAGGGAGGGAGACAGCAAGCAAGCAAAGCAAAAGGAATCCTTATCCAGCCGAAGTTTGCATGTAGCCCAGGCTCTGCACTGTCTGGTGAACCAGCACACCAGGGGAGACAGTTCTGCTTTGCTCTCTGAGGTTTTTCTAAACTCTCTGGCAGCCTCGGTGCTGCTGAAGGGCTGGCTGCCTGCGGCTTTCTAAAGGCCAGGCCAACAGCAGGGTTCCGAGAACGTGGGACAGGGAAGTGGCAGAAAACGCGGAAGTTCGCAGTCCACCCCAGACACTACCTGGGCCAGCGCGTGCAGCTGCGCGCTTGACGGCCCCTTTGCGACGGTTGCTGCGAATGCCGTAAAATGAGGCCTCCGGCCCTTTTGGAATGGTTGCCACGACTGCCGTAAAGCGAAGCTTCCGCTGCTTTGCGATGGTTGCCGCGACTGCAGTAAAGCGAGGCCTCCGCCGCTGCTGGAGAGCGAGGTAAGATGAAGGCACCGGGGCTGTGTCTCTGGGCCTGGGCGGGCATCCTCAGGCAGGGGTCGCTGGTCGCCCGGTACCCGACTGGAGTTCGGCCACCTTCGGGGTCCCCGCCCCAGGCGGTGGGAGCAGCGGAGGTCGGCCGCAGGTCCATGTTGAGTCCGTCCGCCGCAGGCCGGCCGCGCTCCTCACGGAAGCAGATCGTCCCCACGTGCCCTTGCTGTCCGCTGATCGTCCTGACCGGCGCCCATCGGAGGTTGATGGAGACGCTCGTAGAAGCCGGGTCGGGTCGGTGTGGTCTTTTGGGCTGGGTGGTGAGAGCGGAGGATGGGGGAGAACGAGGAGATGTGAGGACCAGTGCATGGCCAAGTGCCTCGGCAGGGGAGGAACTGCTGCAGCCGGCTGCTCTGCCTGCATCCTCAGTGGTGGCTGGAGGCCTGGACTCGCCAGGGACAGGGAGAATGGCAGGCGGCTAACCAGAGAGTTCCCCCGGAGGAGTTTGATGCCTCGCGAAGGACGTGAGAAATTCTGTGTACAGGGGCCAGCTGCATCCGCTTCTAAGAGAGGAGGTGGTTGAATTGCCAGTCTCTTTCCTGTCCTCTGAGACTCCTCAGTGTTCATCCTTAGTACTTTTGGAGGAGCGGTCCCTGTGCTTAATAATAACGGTGAATGACGATAATAAAAATAAGGTGGACGCGGTTAGCCAAGCTAGATATTTGCGTGTAGCTTTCCTTTCTTCCATTTCATTATCAATTGGGGAATATGGGAAAAGATTGGATTTAATTTAGGCGGGTAATTAGAGGCTTTAGATAAGAGTCTGGAGAACTGAATTCACATTTCATCACTGTCGTCAATTTCTCAGGTACCACGAAGCAAGCTACTTTGGTGTGTGCCTCGAGTTTTCTCAGCTATAAAGAATGATACTCTAGTCTTTCTACCTTTATATATTTCAGATAAATAAAAGTCAGCCAGGCATGGTAGCTCACACCTGAATATCAGCACTTTGGAAGTGGAGACAAGAGATTCCCTGCATAATAAGCTTCAGGCCAGCCTGGGGTAAATGCCCTCAAGCAAGCAATTAATTTCTTGCCTCTTGAGGGAAAGGCTTTTCTCACTGCATTGGAGTTAATATTGCTGTGATGAAACACCTCCACCAGAAGTGACTTGGGGAAGAAAGGGTTTATTTCACTCCCTGTTCCATGTAACAGTTCACCATCGAAAGCACTGGGGGAAGAAACCTGGAGGGAGGAGCCGAAGTAGAGGCCATGGGAAAGTGCTGCTTACTGGCTTGCTACCAGGGATTACTCAGCCTGCTTTCTTATAGAACCTAGGACCATTCATAATGGGCTGGGTTTTCCCACTTTTTTTAAAAATTTATTTTATTCCCACTTTTATAACTAATAAGAAATGGTCCCCCATATTTGCTTACAGCCTTGGTCTCATGGAGGCATTTTCTCAGTTCGGGTTCCCTCTTCTCAGATGACTGTAGAGTTGACCTAAAATTAGCCAGCACACTCATGAAAAGAACTTGATTTGAGCTGGGAAGATAATTCAGCCACTAAAGTGCTTGTCATTACAAGCATGGTCATCTGATTTCCATTCCCGGAAGTTACATAAAACTGAGCATGGCAGCCTGCAGGCCTACTCTTAGATCAGGGGAGATGGAGACAGAAGGATTCCTGGTAAATTCTAACCAGCCACCCTTACTTGTATAGTGACTTCCAGGCTAGTAATAGACTTTGTTTTTGGGGTATAAGCAGTAGGAAGGAGGATGGAGATGTGGCTCAGTGACAGAGAGCAAGCCAGAGATGTTAACCTGAATTCATAAATTAGCACTCATGTAGGAAGCCAAACATGGCTGTGTGCATGTCAGTTACCCCAGAACCAGGGGAGGCAGCAAAAAATAAGAGTTTTTGGCCACCAGCCTGGCTCCAAAGTCAGCGAGAGTCTCTGTCTTGAGGGAATAAGGTAGAGTGTGAAAGATCAAAATACTGGATCTCTTCTGGCCTGCTTGCCCCTGCCCTCCTAGAAGTGCACATAGCCCCGACGCATACAAGGCCACATGCCTGCAATACACAAGTGCATATAGCCTCCCCAAACACACACAAGTTCACATAGCCTCCCCCAAAACACACAAGGGCACATAGCCTCCTCAAAGACACAC